TATAGCTGTGTTTCAATAAGATGTCAGAGCAGCAAGACAGAGTGCACTAAATGTGAAGCACGAAGTAGTCACCCTGTGTTTCAGCTCAGCAGGGCAGTGGGATTTTGCTCTTACAACAGAAAAAGGGGGGTTCGTGAGATTAATGCATGCCTTTTCATACATCAGATGTCTGCACTGCCAGTGTGATGCCTTGTTTTTCTTTATTGTAGTGATTTGCCTGTTAACATGTTCCACAACTCTTTTTTCACCCTTTCCCAAGCCCTACCGGATTTTCAATACCTGGCTTGGAGATCCATCCAAGAACCTTATGCTTGCTGAAGTCATCAAGGTTATTAAAACAGAAGACCTTCTAAACAACGCAACCCACGCCGGGAAAGCCCTACTGACTGGGCTGCTGGATTTGCAGGTAAACATCTGGAAGGATTGTAAATAAGAAAAATAAATTTGCTGGTGGGGCGGGATCTGCCCTCATCCAGTTTAAGCACTTGGACTGAGGAACTCCAGCTGGGGACTAAACCATCACAGCTTGCTGGTTTAGGTACTTCAATGCAAGTTGAATAACTGTGTCCCTTTTTGCATTGAAGTAAACTTTCTTTTACTGACTTGAAAATGTTGGGTTGATACAGCTTAATCCAAAATAGAGGGTGACGCCCAAAATATCTGAGTGTATGAAGTGCAGCTAGTTAAATTGCTTTGTTAGAAGGTTTTGTTACTACAAGCACCTGTATTTCATCATCCCAAAGTTCTTTTTAAAGGAAGGTGCTTTCATACTTTGTTCCAATTCTGATGGGCTGTTTAAACAAGAAAATTGCAGCTTTCCCTCCCTTGACTAAGGGAAATTCCTCACAGTTTCTACTATGGAGCCCCATGTGAGAAGGAAAGTCAGGCAGGCATTTAAGGGTAGGCTTGGAGGTGCTCTCCTCCCAAAAAGCATTTTGCACAGCATAATCCCAAACGCAGTCTCTGCTGGGTGAGCAGCCCAGCTCGTGCACTCGCTCCACTCCAGCAGAACCAGGAGGCAGCAGGGTTTCCACCTGGCAGAACTGGGTGCCACCAGGTGCCCTCTGTTCCAGCACCTGCTATGGGCATGTCTCTCCTCTCTTTGCAGGCTCGTTACCCCCATCTCATCAGCAGAGTGAGAGGAAGAGGAACATTCTGTTCGTTTGACACTCCAAATGATGCAACTAGGAACAAGTTAATTACAATAGCCAGAAACAAAGGTAAGATAGTTTGTGAGTGTGGATGAGCTTCATGTGACAAACAGTAACATAGGTAATGCTACTGAATTTTCCTTTTTCAGATGGTGTATGTGCACCACAGTATCAGAGGAGAGAAGGGAAAGGACAAGCAAAACTGTATTTAGACTTTTCTGGAAATACTTGTGTTTTCAGAGACTTCAGACCAGTCCAGTGCCTGCTGTGTATATTTACCAGGCTCTATAGGTCTGGTGTTACTGGAAGAGATCTATATAGGGCAGGAGTTTTTGTGACATCAGTCTCATAGTCCTCTGCAGTGACTTCAGGTGTCCCTGGGCATGGCTTCCTTCTAGAAAGAGATCAGGAAAGTTGAAAGAAAGTTAATGCCTAGGAAAACACAGGGAGAACTGTGAATTTTATACCTAAGAATACCTAATGATTAAATATGATGAGTTGCCTAAATGGGCACAGATCTACAACAACATGCCTCTTTTACCACAGAACTGTCACCCAGCTGCAGACAGGCCCTGGAGGGGATCCTCAGGACTCACACCTACATTCTCTTTGAATTTAACTGTGTGTGGGCCCTGGGTTTGCTGCTGTCCAGTTTTGCTGTTACTCCTATCTCTTGAAATGCATGGTGCATCTAAACTGTGGTGAAACCAACATTTTGGAGTAAAAAATACACTGTTTTTTGTTCTTTGAAACTAAGGCAGCAGGGAGAGAAGGGAAGTAGTTTGCTTCATGGTAAACCAAGGCTCTGCTTTGAGGCAGGGTAAGCCCAGCTCAGTGGCTGAGTTCTTGTTGTGCAAGGGACCTTTCAAAGAATTGGTTTTGGGGTAAAAGGAGTACCATGCATTTAAAGCACTGCAGGAACAGGTTTGCTGGCACTGAGATATTTTAACTTTTTGTAATTAAAAAATGAAGTAGTTTAAAAACACAATTGTAAAGAAACCTCTTGAGGCACCAAGATACTTAACCAGTAGAGCTAAGCTGTGCACTGGGTGGATTCTTTCCATTGCTGTTGGGGTTAGTCCCCATACTCCAAGTGTTTTGGAGAACAGCTACAGGCACCCACAGTGTTCTTCTAAGTTTCTGTGAGGTTTGATGTCCTTCACACCACTGCCCACGTGCTGTATCATGGTGTGGTTAGCAGGGATTTAGGGAGCTTCTGGTTGGCCCCTCACAGTGAGGTAAACCTCAGACAAGAGACCTGCATTTTGTGGATACTTGGCAAAGGTGGGAATGACAAGAGGACCTATCCTGTTCCTGTTTCAGGTGTTGTTCTGGGAGGCTGTGGAGACAGATCCATTCGTTTCCGCCCCACACTGATCTTCAAGGATCACCACGCGCACCTCTTCCTGAACATTTTCAGTGACATCTTAGCAAACTTCAAGTAAAAAGCAGTTCCCTCACACTGAACAGCTGATTATGAAATTAGTCTGCATTAATTCATGTCTCCTCTACTTACAAGATAAGTGTAAAGTCATAAACCGAGGTTTGTGTTCTGTGTGTGATCCTGCCCAAGGCAAGCTGCTCCATGCACACGCGCCCCAGGCAGAGCGTTGGCACTGGTCACCAGCAGGTACACGCAGCTGCCCTCACTGTGCATCCCCTACAACCTGTGGGCCTCCCTCTTCTGGCCTGGGCCATGCTAACTGCAGACTCCTGTCTCCAGCCGTGGCCCTGACTATCCATTGTCTGACCAGGACCCATTTTCACAGGTGACCCCAGATTTGCGTCCAGTAACAGCAACAAGAGTGGCCTCACTTAGGGGCCACGTGCCTGCCACATGGGAAGTGCCATTCTCCAGTGGCAGCTGGAATAAAATCGGTGTTTCAGGGAAAGCTCTGCTTTCCACCACTGCCAAGCACAGTGTTTTACAGAGTGATTTCCAGCTTTTTTCCCAAGAGTACAGACATCTGTCCCACGAGGTGGGCCGGGGTACCCCCTGTGCCCAGCCCGCACAGGCTGCTCCAGAGGCACCGGTGCCCTCAGCCACGCCTGCAGCGCTGCAAGTGGCACTGAAGCACCTGGCCTGTTCTCCTCATCATGGATGAGTTTTAAAACTTGTGACTTCTCTTACAAGCAGACTTGTACAGAGAAGGCTCTATCCTGAATTTGACAAAGCTTAGAGAACCATGCAAAGCACATTATTCACACTTCTGCCAGCAATTTAGAATGATTCCAGATTATCTTACCATTTGCCCAGAACACGCAATAGCCATTAATTTATCTATTACAAGTTCTACATAAATACTTGAGGTATTTTGTAAAACTACAGAAGAAATGCTTAATCTTAGCCATTATCTGGTATCAGAGCCACTACAGTGAAGGCCTAGTCCTAACTGCATATTTATAATGCAAAGTAATTCTATTTTTGTTCTGATAGTATATTCTAAGTCATTGATATTTCAGAGATCTTCTAGAAAGCCACAGGATAAAAAAAAAAAAACGTCAACAGTTCATTAATTTGTTTTTCTTTAGAGAACTGTTTTGTTTTGGATGTCTCTTTACTGTTTGCTTAGGGCTGACTTGAACTAGATCTGGTGCCTTTCTTTTCTTTTTCTTGGAGGAAGCATCTGGATTTTGTTTACTAAGTTTAACTTTCTGTTGTGCACCAAAACACAGGGACCACAATGGACTTTACAGTTGCCCTATTTAGGACCTGACCACAATTTTTAAGTACATAATAAGAGACAGAGCAGTTAAAAGATTTACATGTTTAATACAGCTACCAAAATGTGAAAGGTTTCTTACCTGCTTTGAGAAGTGTTAATCACGGTTTTCCCATTTTAGAGTAGTGGTGTTTGGGAAATCCAAGTACACTCACCTGCCAGCTGAAACCCAGTGGGATTTCTGTAAAATCAGAATTCTGGTACCACTGGGCAGAACCTGAGCAGGTCTTTGAACAGAGGTTGTAGAAATCTGGGGTAAGGACCAGTAAATTGGTGTTCAACAAAACCTCATTGTCATCGCTGTCCTTGTAAGCGTATTATCAGCAAAAGGAAAGTCAAACCAAGAACTGTATTTGACAGCATTTTGGGAATTAGTTTGTTCAACATATCAGTGCAGTAGTTTTAGTGAATGTCTCTAGCAAGTCTTGTACTTTTACAGAAGCAAAGGTCCAGTAATTTGAAGTCTTACCACATCTTCACTTTTATTATGACTACTCTAGGTGTTTTTATAATTTTTACTGACACTCAGTAACTGTATAATTGTGTACAACATGTTGATTAAATTGTTAGAGAATACATAGAAAGCACTGCAGCTGAAGCATATAAAGTTAATATTGTTTACAGCATACTGTGGACAGTGCCAAATAAATGTTTAAACAAATACTTAACTACACTTCATGGTGTAACTAGTAACTGTACACAGATTCATAACAAATGACATCTCATATGTAATCAATATTCTTAAATAAAATATTTATAATTGAACTTCTGCAGGGCTTTTAATTTTACACCTAGGACATGCCTGAACTGAACCACTAGTGCATATTAAATACATTCTGATGAAGATAAGCCTCCAAAAAACAGTGTATGTGTACAGTCCACTGTATTTTGCTGCCATGGCTTTTACACCAAGAACATTTTTCTTTTCCTTTTGATATTGCTGTGCCACATAGCATCAGCCGAAATTTAAAATCACAGAACCCCACCAGGAAAAGTTCAACATGAAAAAATGGTAATTCAGGGTTAGCCTGTGCACTTAAATGGCAATTTTACTTACCTGCATCTGCTGATCCACCAAGAGACAGAGGCTTCAATTTGCATGAGGAAGAGACAGGGAAAGGAACACTCCAGATTATTGGTGAGGGTCAGTTTATTTGCCATTTTCAAATGAGGTAACAGCTAGAAGAGTGGTGTAAGGGGTTAACTTGCTTCTGACAATTCAAAAGAAGTGTTACATGTTACAGGTGACATGTTTGGTTCTTTCTCAGGTTTAAATTCCTCCCTTTTACTGAGGTTTTGGAAAAGGAGGAGTCACGCTAACACCATGGAGTAAGACCACTGTCCTTCATGGATACACGTGCTGCTTTTACCATTCCAGTGGGAAGAAATATTGTACTGTGAGGGTGGTGAGACACTGGAACGGGGAGGTTGTGGATGCCCCAACCTTGGCAGTGTCCAAGGTTGGATAAAGCCTTGGATATAGCCTTGAGTAATGTGGTCTAGTGAGAGGTATCCCTGACCATGGCAGGGAATGTTGGGGCAAGATGATCCTTAAGGTCCATTCCAACCCCTTAATATTCTATGATTAAATGGGGCAGCTCCTGTATTTCACTTCAAGAGCTTTTCCCGTTTCACAACAACTTGAAGGGGCCAGCTGAGGCAGTTGGGGTCAGCACCACTAATGCAGCCTCCTAAGTGCATGTTGCATGGAGGACAGTTCAGACTTGGAACTGCTGTGACAGCACAACACAGAACCCAACATGGAACAGACACTCCTCACACCATAAACAAGCCGCAAAGACATTTAATCCAGTGGATTATTCTTTATCACTGTGACTTTCTATGCTGGGTGCACTTACAGCAGGTTTTGCATAGGAAAAGGAGAGGGGTGTCAGTGTGGTAAGCTCATTAAACCTCATGGAACAACAAGCACAATGAACATGAAACATGGAAAATCACTGGAAATGAGCTGCTGTATCACACAAGTTCTCCAAATATTTGAGTAAACTTCTCTCTGTCTACAATCTGTCCATACTTAACTGTGAAATATAAAATGTCTGGGCTGTTATACCGTTTGAACTGGAGAAGCAGCTCCTCCTTGCTGTCTCCAACTTCATCCAAAGTCACCACTGTCTCTATGGGACAGTAAATGTCATTCCGTCTTCCCCAGAACGTCAAGTGGGCCACTCTGACAGTCTGGCCAGTTTCACTCAAGTAGATGAATCCAATAATTCTTCTAAAAAAGTAACTCATACTATACAACATTGCACCAGCAAAGACTGCAAGGCCAGTTGTGTATAAGAAGATATTCTGAGACACCTGGTTCTGCAGGTAGAGGTACCAGATGGGAGGCAGCGTGACCATGGTGGTGGCAGTCTGCAACAGCTTCAGCCTGGACACGACCCTGCAGTACTTTATCCCTGGAAACCTGTAGACCAGTTTGAACTCTTCTGTCCTCCCATCCACAGCCTTCTGCTGGACCGCAGCAGCAGCGGCCAAATGGGACAGACACACAGACTGTGTCCTGAGGTAACTGGTAACACCACTGACTTGCTGGTTTTGTGGCTGCAAACACTCCCATGTACCAAAAGTCCAGGGCGGGCGAGCATCTCCCCTTCTCCATGACCTTGTCCAGAGCTCCTTCTGTAGACACCTCCCAAAAGCTGGTGCCATGCAGAGTTTAGTCCTGACTGTGCAGAGCCAAGCCTGTAAGGAAAGGTTACCACAGGTCATCATTAGAGCCCTCTTTATAACTGAACCACAGCGAGCTTAGTCGGTCCCTCAGGCACCTACAGAGAGCAAAGCACAAACCCCCGCTCAGAGTAACCTCAAACCAGTGTTCTGTCACGGGTGTTCGTGCTCACACCCCCCCGTGGAAAGGAAAACACTTTGGATAACACAGTTAACTGAGTTAACCAGTGACGTTCGAGCCACACCAAGGCACTACGGGCCGCTTCAAAGCAAAGAGGGCAGGGAACGTGGGCTGCCATCGGTGACGTGCTAAATAACCACTTAAATGGCAATTTTAGAGAAACGGGGGGAAAAAAGGTGGACTAGGCGCAGTAAAGGGGAGTGGGGAGAGTGCTCTACACTGAAGAAAGAGGGACCAGACACTGGGGACGTGCAGGATAACAGGAAGGAAAGGACCCTGGCGCTGCCCCCGCCGCGGTGTGACACGCGAGCGCCAGCGCCCCCGGGCAGGGACGCGTCGGGAGGGGAAAGGGAAGGAAAGGGAGAAGAAAAGCAAAAAGGAAGGGGAACGAGAACGGAAAGGGAAAAGGGAAGAGGGACCGGCGCGTCCCTATCCCATTCAATTCCATCCCATCCCACCCCGTCCCGTCCCGTCCCTCACCGCCGCCATGTTCCCGCCGCGGTCGCACCGCCCCCTGAGCGCGCGGGGCCCGCCGGGAGGGAGGCCCAGCCCAGCCCGGCCCAGCCATGGCCCCGCCGCCCGCAGCGCTCTGCCTGTTCGACGTGGACGGGACCCTCACGGCCCCGCGCCAGGCGAGTGCGGGACGAGGCTGCGGGGGGTGGGGAACGTGCTCCGGGCTGTCACCGTGGGGCTGGGGGAGCGGGGGGTGTCCCACAGCCTGCGAGCCCTCGGGCATCGGGGGCATCGCGCACCGCGGGCTGGGTGGGTGAAGCTGCCGCGCCCCTTAAGGGGAAAGCAGAAGAATCCTCCCTGTCTCTCGAAGCCTGGTGCTGCCGGTCTGTGGTGGGCTCATGCCGCACGCAGGGCGGGCTGACGGGTGTGTTTGGGCGCAGAGAATCTCCCCGGAGATGGCGGCGTTCCTGCAGCGGCTGCGGCAGAAGGTCAAGGTTGGCGTGGTGGGAGGCTCCGACTTCGCCAAGATCCGCGAGCAGCTGGGCGAGGACGGTAAGGACCGCGCTGGGGCAACCCCGAGCCACCCGCGGGGAAGTCAGGAAGGTTAAACGCAGGTCAAACCCTGTTCGTTCCCCTCCTCCCTTGCTTTGAACTGTTTTTCCCGGTGATGCCGCGTTGCACTCAGTCTATGAAGAGCTGTTTCCTGGCACTTGGAAACTGCAGCCTGTTTCATTTTACACGTACCTCGGTATCATATTAAGGGATTGTAACTAATGGTGAACTCCTGGGAGAACCTTGGGAGGGATTTTTCCCTTTGCTGCTTTACAGCGGAACTGTGTGTGTGACACCCACGTGTGGCTGCTCAGCTGTGAGCACATCCCTTGAGGGTCTGACTTTGTTCACTGCACCATAACCCGTGTAACAAACCCCTTTTGTTATGAGGGTTATGGTGCAGCGATGGGCTCTCACCCTAGTCCTACAAGAGGCACTTCCTTTTCTGTGTCTTTAATGGTCTTTACTTAATTGATGCCACTGACAGCCTCCCGTCATGCTCAGATAACTCATAATTTGTTTGGCTTCCAAGTGGTCTCCACTAAGGCGTATCATTTTGTGTTGTAGTAAGACTATCACAACTGCCAGAAATCTACTGAAGATTAGTAACACCGAGGAAACAAACGTAAAAGAGCAGTATTTGACTTGCTCTCTCACCAGGCTGTGTGCCAGGTTTTTGCAGTGTTTGAGGTGTTCAGTCACTTCCTTACACTTAATGCAAAGAGGCATATTTTCAGGAGAGGAAGAGCCTTTGAGCAAAAACACAGGTAGCTCAACTGAATGACTATGTGATTTGAGGTGTGCATTAATCTTAGTGAGAAATGGGAGTGGCTTTGATCCTGTGCTTAATGTTATGCTGCTGAATCTTTTGTGCTTTAGGATCTAATGTTTGCTGTGTTTTAACCTGTTCAGCATGTAAGGCAAACTGCATTAAACATGTAGGGAAAAAAGGATGTGTTACTGTCTTTCTGTTTGCTTGCAGTGGTTGAAAAATATGACTACGTGTTTCCAGAAAATGGTCTTGTAGCATACAAGGATGGGAAATTCCTGAGCAAGCAGGTAAGTGTGAAATTTCCAGTAGTGGGAAAGAGAAATTTTCTACATATTTTCTAAGGACTTTGCTTTGTTGCTGCAGTGCAGTCCTCTGTAATCACCCTTCTAACAAAGGCCAAAATTGCTGCTGTTTTCATGTGTGACCCCTGTTAATGGATCATTCATTTAGTCTGTAATGTTCAACGTAAGTAATGGAGAGTAAACATTTAAAAAGAGATACTGGCTGAAATTGCTGCCTTGAGCAGTTGTTCCAGTTTATTGCAGGAACAAGCTCCATTTCTTCACGCTTGGCTACAGCAGATATTAATTGCAGTTTTTGTTTAGGGTTGCTGCCTCTGACCCACAGTTTCCTTCTAAACTTGGTGCAAGTAGAGAGCATATTAAAGGATGTTTAACAGTTTGGTGTTATGGTTAAAAAATAAAATAAAAATTAAAATGAGAGCCTTCAGTTAATACTGTGTGTGCATCAGCTGAGAGTTACTGATTGAAGGCATATTTGTTCCTCTGTGGTAATAACCATGCCTGATTATCCAATGTCTGTGTTTTCCATGTGACTTGCTTTTAGAATCTCAAATTCTGGACCCTTGGTTGAATGGTGTTTATTTTGTTAGAGCATTCAGGGTCACCTGGGTGAGGACATTCTTCAGGATCTAATCAACTACTGCCTGAGTTACATTGCAAAGATTAAGCTGCCAAAGAAGAGGTATGTGCACACACACATCTCACATGTTCTCCTTGTTACAGTGTTGGACATCAGGATGTAAAGCTCAGCTCAGGCTGCTCAGCAAAATAAAAAAAAAAAAAAAAGAGTAGTTTGTGGTTTATGAACACTGTGTATGTGAAACAGCTCAATCCATGCATACAAAGACAAGCTCGCAGCTGGAGCATAGGATTTGAAAGACTGAATCAGTATTTATATTTCAGAGGGAAGGAGACTCAGTTTTGAAGTAGGAGTGTTTCCTTGATGTGTTTGGAATTCAGCAGCATAATGTTTTCCAGAGATAAGAGGTGTGCAGCAAGACCAGCTCTGTGTGACATGTGAGGTGCAGCTGCTCCAGGCACTAAAATGCACCCTGTGAGGCAGGGTAGGACCCTGCCCAGATTGATGTGAATTTTGCAGCTTCACCCCAAAACAGCCAGCGTGGCCTGTCTGGCTCTGAGGACTGGGTTGATGGGATGCTCCAGTCACACTTTTAAAGCCAAGTCATGCTTTTAGAAGTCAGAAAGGATGATGTTGAGGTTGCGAGATTGAAATAAAAGTCAGAAACACTCCTTGGTGCCAGAGGTATTGGTTCCTACATGTGTGGGGCTTTATGCATACAATGAGAGGTTGAAGGAGGCAGCTGATTCCCACTGTTTTCAGAACTAAATGGAAGTTCATTATGATATTTAGCGTTTTGATCCATTTTTTCATCTGTTTTCTGTCTTGTTAATCAATCCTTTTCCAGAGGCACTTTCATTGAGTTCCGGAACGGGATGTTAAATGTGTCCCCCATTGGAAGGAGCTGCAGCCAGGAAGAACGACTTGAGTTCTATGAACTCGATAAAGTGAGTTACAGCTCTTGAAAATACCCAGCTCTCCTGGAGGAGGCAGTTACAGCCAGGTTATGATTTTTAAAAAACTTCTATACTTTCTGCAATTTTTTTCATTGTAATCCATGTACTTTAACGAACTTCTTCATTCAGACCTCAGCAGATAGGCAATAGGTTTTTTGTTGCAATGGTTAACAATGATTACTTTGAGAAGGGGTGGGTTTGACTCATGTTTCTTTTAATCCAGAACACCCAACCTCTACACATGGGGTAAACATCCTGTCCTAGATAAAACCATTCCTTGGTGAGCTCTTTAATGTACCAGCCTGTATCTGTTCAAGTCAATAAAACTATTCCTTTACTTGTCCTCTGCAAAGCCTTTTAAGGCAGAATTTTAACAGCTGAGGCCAAACTATTCACCATTTATCCTCCTTTGTGCACAGCTAAATGTGCAAGGCTGAAATGAATCTGAGCCACCAGAGTTCTGCTTCCTGCTACACCACAACAACTGTTTCTCACCCAATAAAAAACTGAAACCTAATTCTTTAAAAGCAGGCTTTATCTGTGACTCAGTTCATGGATGCTGAAGGATATCTAAGCATTCTGAAAAAACCCTTTTTGGAGTATACAGCCTCAGAAGAGTAGTAGTAGTTTTTTAGACTCTTCTTTATGCCTCAGCCTTCCCATTTGTAAGACTGAATATTTTTGGGAGCTGAAGCACACTTCTGTAGTGTTCTAAGATATTCAGATGGAAAAGCAAACATCACAGCATGTACGTGAAGTTTTGCTCTTTTATTTTTTTACAAGTTGGTCGCAGATTAAAGTGGGAAGATTCTTAGCGTGCTGCCGGTAGTAATAAAATGTGGCTGTATCACAGTCCTGGTACTCAGACCTCTGGATATTTTTGAGATGTTTTGGGGGGTTACCTTTTCATTGATGAATTAACACAGCATGTAACTGATGTGTGGTTTTGTTTTGTTTTTCCTTAACAGAAGGAGCATATAAGAGAGAAATTTGTGGCTGATTTACGAAGAGAATTTGCAGGCAAAGGCCTCACATTTTCTATAGGTAATACATTAAAAGAATGTAATTTAAAACATCAATTAATTTTAAATTTCATTAAAGTCATATTGCCTTGTGGCTGTGACATATCCCATCTCATCTGTGTGATAATTCTCACTGGGGGTGGTTGCAGGCAAGACTGAGCCTCTTTTTCCTCTTAAGCTTTCACTGGGACATTTTAATTGAGATCCATCAACAAAGAGAACTTCATTGCTTGTCATCAGTTCATTGTCCTTTAATGTCAGTTGTATGACTGATTCTGCTCATTTTGAAACGTATTATATGCTTCTATTTAGTCAGAGTTGTTTCTGTGAATCAGTTTTGATCAGAACTATTCCATCAGTGCTGTTCAGCTGCCCTTGGTTCTTCAGTTCTAACTGCATTGTGTGGGAGGAAGGAAAGAATCCAAAAGCAAGTGCAAGCTTAAAGAGAAAAATTATAATAGAGGAGGAATTAATATTCCATGCACTTCTTTTTTTCCCTTCTCCCCTAATATATTACCACATTCCTGCCCTGTGTTATTTTTCAGAAAGTCTGGTTGCCATTAGTGCTGTGGTATTGAAGCACTAAGGCAGAAATGAACTGAAATGCAGCTCTCCTGAAGCATGTTGTAAATACCTTTAGGACACCTGCTTCAACTGGGGATCATGCTTTTAGGTATTGGGGAAGTCCAAGGATTCAGAATTGGAGCAGTTGTTGTCCTCTTAGGGTGCGTTTAAAAAGGCAGATTTCCTCCTTTTTCTATTCTGAAAGCCTTAGAAAAGTCTTTTGCCTAAGACCTCATGGCTGTACACAGACCTATGACTGCTTTCACTTGAGCCCTTTCTTTCTAAAATTAAAGAGATTAAATGTAATTTTTTTTTAAAAAGTTTGCTTTTTGGGAACACACTAAGACTTTCATATTTGTTTAAGGGATAAATAATCATCTCTAAATCATAACTGTAATAACTGCTACCCTATAAAACACTTTCTGTACTTACAAGACTTAACTCCAGGGTCTCACAATATTTCTGTGGCTTCTGCAAAGCTCCCCCTACCTAAAATCTTAGCCAGTTTAGGATTTCTTCACTTCCTCTCCCCTCAGAAATGTGTTCTTACAATCAAACCAGTCTACTTGGTTCATCTCTATCCTAGGAGGGCAGATAAGCATCGATGTGTTCCCCGATGGATGGGACAAGAGGTACTGCTTAGGAATTGTTGCCAATGATGGATACAAGACGATTTATTTCTTCGGAGACAAGACTATGCCAGTGAGTAGTTTGTTGTATTAATTTCAGAGCTGTTTTAAAGCACAAAGACTGTAGGTTCTAACCTTCTAACCTTATTCCTGATGAGAGCTGAAGTCAGGGTGCAAACACCATGTCCATGTTTAACTGGCTGTGCTGCTGGGGGAGAGCTGGGACGTTTTCCTTCTGCTTCCTGAAATGAACACGAGGTTCCTGACAAACTTAATAGAAATTGTTTGTAAATGGAACTTCTGTAATTCTGTTAAAAACCTAGGTGACATGACTATGTGATGAACTGATTATCCTGTGTGGCTAGTGTAGATTGATGCTCCCTGTTGGCTGGTGTTTATTAAACATATTTATTTCCCCTTTAATGCTGTTCCTTTGCTCACCACTGTCTCCACACTGAGGAACTGAACATAGTCCCTGACCCCCATCATTGGGCTCAGCAGGGCAATTCAGAGGCTTTTAAAACTCCTGAGCAGAGACCTGACAAGAGCCTGTGAGGGCAATGGCAAGCACAAGGACTTGGATGAAATTAAAGCTGTCTGAATATGGCCAAGGGACAGGGTCAGCCTAAGTTTTACAAGAAAAGGCTTAGTTTTATAAGAACTGAGAGTTATAAAACTCTGAAGTTTCAAAGAACTTTACAGATTTATAAACTTGAAAAGGTGAAATGAAATTAAAAGGTTTTTCCCCCTTGACACCAGCTGCAAAAGTAATCACCAGTCCCTCTGGCATAGAGTTCATGGACAGTTCTTTTTAAACCCTGTAAGTGGCAGTGCAGCATTTTCAGAGTGTTGAAGTACCAAGAGCTGCTGCTGACCCCGTGCAAGCAGAGTAGCAAACAGAAACTTGGGAACTGCTTCCTGCAGTACTCCCTGGGGCTCTCAGGGATCTCTGCTCATGCAGGTGGCACTGCTGTTGTTCCCTGAGCCTTGTCAGGTGTCCTGTCACTGCAGCTCCTTGGAAAGAGGCCCTTCTTTCCATGTTTTCCTTTATATGTCCATTCTGTGTCATTATATGTTAAATAAAATTAAATCCTCTTCTGCTTCCAGGGAGGGAATGACTATGAAATTTTCACAGACTCCAGAACAGAAGGCCACAGTGTCACATCCCCCCAGGATACCAGAAGAATCTGTGAAGAGCTGTTTTTTAAATAGAAGACTTTTAGAATTCACACTTACAGGACGGTTAAAACAGCTTAATAACTTGAAACATCATCTTCATTCTGTATTTTCTGTGTTTTGTAACTGTGTAATGAACAGGAGGTGCTTTGCAGGTCAGTCATTACTGAAGGGAAGTATTTTAATTGAAGAGCCCTTGCTGATCAGGGGAACACAGCAGAGCACATTTAGCACCATCCTTTCAAGTACTGTTTTCTTTTTGTTTGGGTTTGGTTTGGTTTATATTTTTTATTGGTTTTTAAGTCATCAGTAAACAACCTTAACTAATTAATTACATTTTAGGGGGGAAGAGGGGGGACATAATCTGCCTCTAGTTGATTTATGGTCATGAAATTTGCCTGCAAGGCTTTATCCCTAGTTGTTGTTTTTTTTCATTTTGAGGCTGCTTTTTAAAAGATGAGCATTTTATAAGAGTTATTTTTTTTTAATACTGCCTTATGCTATAAAATCATGAATTATAAGACATTTAGGACTTTCTTGACTAAAACTGGAAGATGAGTAGAAGAGACAGGATTTATTTCATCGTGGAGGTGGGAAGACTGAACTGAGCCATAAGTTTCTGACCCCATCTGTGTTCCAGTGTGTGGTCAGAAGGTGCTTCAAGTCTCCCACCCCTGGGAAGGCTGGACCAGCTGGGGCCACAGTTACCTCCTGAGAATGGTTGTGGTGTCAAGGTACGGTCAGATCATGGTACCTAAAATCCATAGACTATTTAAAAAAAATTTAAAAAGTTATAAATATAATCAAAGTAACTTTTATCACAGTAACAAAATATACTTCTGTCACTTTCTGATAGTTTTCTGATTTTCTTTGTAAGAAAGAAATTGAGGGTAAATGAGATTTTAGCACTAAGAATATTACCTGAATTACGTTTCTCTTAAAATTCAAGTCAACATCTGACAATCCATGTAACTGTTAATATTACTTTTCTCATCTGGCATTATAAAAGTAATCTTGTATATGGACAATTTAGTAAAGGAGAATCAAATCTCGTAATGAAAAATTACTGTTTCACTTTGTCATTTTGGCAAATAAAATACTTTAAGCAGAACCTGTTGCATGCTGCCTCTCTGTATAAAGAAATGAGGGACTTGAATCTTTCCCATTCCAAGTTTATGTGATATCTGCTCGGTAAAAAAAGAGGAGAATACAATCTCTGTGTACCAACCCAAATCCCCAGAAGAGCTTACAAAAAAGGAGAGGGAGCTGTAATGCACCTCATGCATCATAACTATCTTGTCTTCTCATGTTTTCTTATATAAAGTTTTTAAATATCAGACACCTGCATTCTCCTCTCCTTGATCATCTTCACCACCACCTACCCAGGGAGGAGACTGAAGACATGTTAAAGCATTATAATGGTCGCATTTATTGTAAAGAAAGCAGTGTGTGATACTCCAACAAGCTGGACAGTGAGAAATCCACCACTTCCGAGTCTTACGGGTCATAAAAAACAAAGCCAAGCTCCAAACCCCACTAAGATTGGTCATTATCATACACCACAGTATGATACTGGTACAGCCAAGGTAAAACAAGCCAGCACAGCAGTTGCTGATCTCCATACCTCAGAACAGATCCTGTGAGTCCTGGGACACATCCTGACAGCAAGCACCTGCTGGTAGAATTGCAGGTAGGCAACTGGAGTTACACTGGTTCACACAACTAACAAGAGCTGTGCCATCTTTTTTATTTTAATTTTTTTATTATTATATTTGCAAAGTCAATAAAAATCCACTGTTAGGAACATCATAAAGAAAAATGCTGCATTTGAAAAAAAAAAAAATATGTGGAAGGCAAATAGGAACAGAACTAAGTTAGTTGCACTACAATTACGTGAAGGGAAGATTAACTATCACATTCTACCAAGCAAGTTTTTCAGGGAAGCAGATGCAGAATGTACTTCACCAAGACAGCTGAGCCTGTTGAGTAACTCACACAGTATTTTACACAGGGTCACCTGAGCAGCACAGCCTGCTGTTCAGAAGGGCAGTTATCCTGCCTGCCTGGTGGCACACCCTGGCAGGGAGGCAACTGTCTGCCACCCAGAAGGTCATCTTCAGCCTTGTCTAAATTCAGACACTGTCAGAGGCTATGAATTATCCACTATTCTACAGCTTTCTACCCCTTACCTTGGACCATATTTTTTTAATTTGGGTTGGAACTTTGTTTACTTAATACTGGCCTATAAAATTTGTTGCTAATCAACCATCAAGGCACCTAAGTAAATTCACAAACAATCCTGACTTTACAACCACAATACAGTTTCCACACTCATGCAGCCACCCCATGTGCAGATGGTGCACTGGAGTGTAACCACTAGATGGAGAATTTCCACCTCGTGGCTGCTGCTGTTTGTGAACTTCCTTCCACGAGGACAACAAATTGCAGCAATGAACACCTCTCTCTCTCTCAAGGCAAGGGATTCAGGCACTGTTATCAGCAATAAATGTACTGTAACCCTACGGAAGGGCAGCCCAAGGGAACAGAGGGCTCACACAATGTCAGGGTCTCGGAGTTATGGCCATCTGCACCAGAAGAGCCCTCCTTAAACCTCTCCCCACTCCCCCTGGGTATTTCCTGGAATCAGTTCACAAGATAAAAGGAAAAAAACCAAACCTCCCCTCCTCCACCAAGCACACAAACTAGGTCTCTTTAAATACATTTTCTGTAAACACATTATGCCAGATTTTTTTCATTAGCATTCGAATTGCCTTTTTTTTTTTTTTTTTTTTTTTTTTTTAAATCAGGCCAGCTATAAAAAACAGTAATTCTGGCCTGCTTCTGCTTTATTGACAACACAGTGTTTCCTCCTGCAACAACACGTAGGATATTCTCAGGACAGGTCCCCTGCAGGCAGCTGTTGAGCAGTGACCACACAGGTCAACCCGGGGACACCTCAGGGGCTGACGACGTGCCCCGACCAGGTCTCATGCTTGGTGCCAGGGGCGAGGTGGGTGATCACCACCTCCACCGCCTGCAGCTTCTCGTTCTTCGGGGGGATGGTGCACATCTTGTAGGTGACCTCGTCGCCCGCCACAGGAACGTACTCGCCCTCGATGCTGCGGAGGGGAAGCTCCAGTTAGTCACAAATCACATAAACACTCCCTTGCAGCTTGTTTAAATTTTTACCATAATAATTAGTTTGGTTTTTTTTTTCAGAGCCTGTCATCAACCAAAGTCTGATTGGTTGTCTTGCAGCAAAATGCTATGGGAATACTGTAAACACCACCACTACCCAAAAAAAAAAAACAACCCACTAAAAAAAAATTCAAAATGGAAACAGAAAAACACAACAATCCCCACTGTAATATACCTTAAAGAATACTCAAGTTTGGGCAGCATCGCTGTGAACTCTGCACCAGCACCTCACCCGCCGGCAGCACTAGAGGGCAGGGCTGACGCTGTTTGGCATTTACTTCGGGGATATGGGTTTTAAACTACACAAAGTTGATCCTTTTCTTCTTTCCCTCCTTCTCACTTAAGCTTTTTAAGTTTGGGTTTTTTCCTGTTTTCTTTTTTAAAAAAGGATTGTGCCACGTAATGGAAAGATTTTACCTTTAGATTAGTCCACGGTAACAGTTTGTGATATGAAAAAAAAAAAAAAAAAAAAGAGTCCAAGTGACCTGTGGTGTCAAATATTTCAAAATTACTTGCTGTGAGAAAAGAGGGTTGTGCCACCCTGATGTGTTGCACTGCAGAAAAGCTCATCCAGTGCTTGGAAAGATTTCCAGGAGTCGCTCACTCCTACCTATCCCCCACCAGTGTGATGCTGTGGGATGCTGGAGGGCTTTCACGTGCAGCTGTAACTGCATGTGAGTCCTTATCCTGAATCCGTGGGAGATGGCCAAAGGGCTGTCACCTCCTGTTCAGAACAATGTGCTGATGACACAGAGACTGCAAAGTGCAACAGCCTTCCTCACCTCCACCCCTGTGCTCGACATCAGAGCTTTGTAATAAAAATCCCAGCATGTGCCAGTGAAGACCAGCAGAGATTCCTCCAACCTGCATTGCCACGAGGCTCTGACAATACAAAAATGCTCCTTCACCTTTCTTTAAATACAGCTACACAAGCCCATATCCACCTTCCCCTCCTCTGATAGCCTAGGCTCTAGACTTCTTATTGTTTGAGGGTTTTCAGTGTCTCTCAGCAGCATCTGTATTTGGGAACAGATAAACACTAATAACAAATTCTACCTGATTGGTGTAACTTGCTTGTGAACACCTATTAACTGAAGGTAAGATTTGGGTCCAGGAAAGCAAAAAAAAAAAAAAAAAATCATCTAGGACAGAAGTTTGTCACACACTGCTGGGTTTGTTATTTGCCTTCACTGGGACCAAAGTCACACCACCCAGGAATTTAACCCCACCTGTTTTTGTTAATAGCAGAGATCTCAGATTTTAGCAGTGCCCTTCATATCCACTCTCATCTTGTGACCCATTATTGTTTGGGCTTTTCTATTGCAGGAAAGACTGGCAGGACTGATAGGAGATAAATTCACGGGCCCTCACTGCTGGTTGTGACTTCACATCAGAGTTTGCTTCTCCCCACTGCTCTGCAGAACTTCAGCTTCATCTCCTGCACTGTCTCTCCCCAGCCCTTCCCCCTTTGAGGGCTGCCCCAGTTTCTGCTCCCCTCTGAAGCCTTGTGAGTGCTGCTCAAGGAGCTGGTGCCAGGCTGTGCTGCAGCAGAAGCAGCTAGGGACAGGATGGTAGGGTAGCTAGGGTAACCAGCCATGTACAAGGAAAGCTAAAACTGACCCATAAATCAGAATTTCTCCCATGGGAAATTCAAAAGAAAACAGTCATTGTTTGCTTACTGATTGTATCAACATGATATTGAAAACGCTCCTGTATCTGAATATGGATCTAAAACCTGCTAGGAGGAGTTAAAGGCAGTCCCAAGGCCTGTGGCTTGAAATGCATGTCCTTCAGACTTTATTTCCCTCTTGCCAGAGCTGCCTGTGACTACAGGAATGAGACCCAAAAGGGCATGTCCTAAGCTGAACCCTTCTGACAAGTGCCTGGGAAAACAGGAGTAAATTGAAGGCAGAAAAAATATTTACAGAAAAATCAAAATAAAGCCTCCTTCATCAGACCTGACAGCCCTTTCCAACCCATGCAGGCTGATCCAGCTGACCTTTATTAACTTCCAAAATCTCCAGGCCAACCTGTCAGCCCAGTCCTGTATCACACCACATTCAAGCTCCCACATCTGACTCCTGCTGTGCTGTCCTCTCCAGTTACTGCCTTCATTTACACCCCACCTATCCCATCTCCAACAGGTTTAAGGTTCTATCAAGTGCGAGGGGATTGCACTTCCAAATTTTACTTTCCTTTCAGAAGCAAAGATTAACTTACCTTTTCTACTGCCAAATGAATTTGCCACCAAATACCCTGCAGTTTACCCTGACTGACACAGTGGATTCCAAGCAAGGACGTACTTGCTGGTGCTGCATCAGAGCCTGACAAGGGGGTGTGAAGTCCCAAGAAGAGACACGGGAGAGGATCAAGCCATGAGTGAAAACGGGAATGGCACATAAATCACATCACCTTTCCTACTTGAACCTCTTGAATGATCCCTTGTCGCCAAAAATATTGTTGCCATAGAGTTAAAATCACATTGCCATGAGCAGTAACTCTCAACACAACCCATGCAATCCCAGCTGAGCAAGGCAAACACCTTTCCATGGGAGCCAACACAGCACAAGCATATTATCTGCTCAAGGGAACAAGGGGTGAGCAAAACACAGCGAGCAGAAGCATTCCCAGATGGACGTAATGGACACAGACAATGAGAGCTGAAGCAGAAAGGCTACGCTGACTCAGGTACAGCTGAGCCACTGCAACAAGCCCCAGTGACACACATTTGTTCATGGGGCCTCAAGCACCAGGACCAGCTGCAGACAGTGTTCCAAGGAGCACAGGCACAGCAGATAACATGGGGCAGGAACTAAAGCAGCATCTCCTCTTGGCATTACAGCCACTCCAGAGCCACTGCCTTTGACTGCTGCACAGGGCAGGAACACACACAGCGAGCAGTGAGATCACCACTGTGCAGGCATCAAATGGAACGGATGCCCTGCCCAGGAAGGGATCACAGGTTTGGCTGAAAGGGTTTGTTTTTAAGAAACAGGAACCTGATATGTTCTTTAAAAGCTGCTGTGAAACAGGATGAGCCACAGTTAGCAAAATAAACATTTGAAATCTGCAAAAGCATGTAGGTATGGTTAATGGAAAAGGAAAGTGCATTCACAATCTCCTGAAGAACCAATATACAAAGGTTTAAAGCTCCTAGAAAATGGAGATAAATTAGATATTACTTGAATCTTCAAAATCAAGAGAGGAAGTACAGCTTGAGCACTAAAAAGGATGGGTGTTTTGCTGTATATTTGGTTTAAAATTGAAATAATATGTACCTGGATGGGTTCTGGTAAGAAAGGTGTTGCAGATATACTGGCAACCAAAGTGATCCTATTTTTCAAAAAAATAAGACCAAGTGAACCAAAACACAAGAAGGACTGCTGTGCCCAAAGTACAGCAAGCTGCAGCCAGGGAAATGAGAGGCAAAGGGCCCAGCCCAGACTGTTTGGAGCACTGTCTATGTAGTCCCTGGTCTGCAGGTGAAAATACCAAAATATTTGTTGGCCCACATTTATTATGCTGAATCATGAGGTTAAATACTCCTATTCCTTCTACTAAACAGATCAGATTAGCCCCAAAATCTGCACAGCCCTAAGCATTACCCAGAAAGCTGCATTTTTCTGCACTAGAGAGCATTTTTTGCAGGGTTGAGCATTACACTGACAGCATCATACCTTTTCTTGGTTTCTTTCCTTATCCAAGCTGACACTAGAAGAGGCTGAAGCTTGTGATAAAACCTCATTCGACCCCAACATGGCTTCCTCTGATCCTCTAATTTGTAGTCTTTCCTTGCTTGTTGAGGTGACTCTAATCCATCAAAGCCAGGCCTGTCCTTTGCACAGCTATATGAAAAGGCTGCGGCCACACAAACATCTCCAATTTCATTTTCCGCTTTAGGCCTTTAAACTTTTCTCCCACAGATCAGATATTCTTTTCTTTCCTGCAGCTTTCTGGTCACCAGTCATTCTTGGTGCCTAACAAATAGGGGATTATTAACTCATTGCCCCCAGTGCACATGAAAAGCAAGAGGACAAAGGTTTCAGTCTGCAGCCTGAATAAATGTGAGTGAACTGTGTTCCCTGCACACTGTTTGCCCACCAAATGCTGCTCCTGGGACAGACACAGACTTACTCCAGCACTGCTATTGCTGCATGATGCTGAGAAGCAGAAACAAGCAACGTCCAGACTGTGCAGCACTTCTGGTGCTGTCAGGAAAGAACAGCGTGATGAGATGGTGGCACTGGAGGCAGAGCCCTACACAAAGCTGGGGGAAAATCCTCCATCAGGAAGCAATTGCCTTAAGGGCAGAGTGGAAAATGAAGGGGAAAAGATCAGAGAAAGTAAACAGTTCTTGGAACAGGTTCAGCCTACAACAGACACTCTATAAACAATGTAAGTTACCTGGATAGTTTGGGAAAAGGAAGTTAAAACACAGACTTTTTTGATGCTAGATATTGATTAAATATTTTTAGATCTGTATTTTTTACGTTTACCCTAACTATATATTAAATGTTGATCTAGAGGAAGGTGGAGATATTCACAGCTATTTGAGATATCAGTGTGCACATTCGATTCAAAATAATGGATATCTATTTATCCAGGAATTTTAAAACACTGGAACAACTTCAAGCTAAAAATAGGAAATGCTTTCCTGATGTCAGTGTCAGAGTGAGACACAATAGAGTGAGTCTTAGATTATCCAGCAACTCCCATTTCCCAGCTCACTCAGCGCCAGTCTGGTATGGTGGAGCATTTTATCCTGCACTATTTTTAGGAAACTGGGAGGTTATTAGGAAATTACCTAAATATGGAATGTTCTAGTTCTTCCTTCTCACAGCTACTATTCATATTCCAGGGCTCCAGTTAAACCTCTTGGGACAAAGACTAAGTCACATGGAAACATTTTTGAACAAGAGTTTTCAGTGAACTCCAAGCCTTGCTGATTACCAAGCCTGCCATGGATCACACCATGCAGCACTTCCCATGGATCAGTGGGCTCTATTATCTTGTGGGCTTCTTAAAGTTCATTTAACACCTCAACACACCTCCCAGGAAACCTGTATTTTCATTTAAGAGCAGGACCTGACAGAATAATGAACCACAGTGAGTTACTAATCCCAAATGCCCTTCCATGCAGTCCCAGTGCAAGCCATCGGCAAGGCCAGGGATGACCTTATCGAGCTGTCTGGCAGGCAAAGCAGAAGCAGGGCTGCCTCTCCCCACCTGTCACACCTGTAACTGGGACAGACAAGACTAAAGAGGCTCAAACACTGAAAAACCCAGCTGTTAATATCCAAGGTCTCTGCTAATGGATTTCCCTGTTCTCTGTGCTGAGAGAACTACCCAAAAGCTGCCTAGGACAGAAGCTGCACTTCTGTCAGTGGATGCCCAGTTTTCTACCAAGAACTCTAGTCATGGTGTTGGAATCCATGCTCAGGGATAGTTACGGATCTGTATCTGCTTTCAGCAGCTGGTTCAACACCAGGAAGCACATCACACTCCATAAGGAAGAGACTGGCAGCCACAAGAGAAACATTTCCAGGGATGCTTATGTGAGCTCAGTCAGAGGTACAGAAGATGCCTGTTCCTGCAGGCACCCAGATTGGATCCTGTCACAATCACAGCCACTGTTTGTATCTGGAAACCAGGCCCAGGGCAGTTGTGTTCTGTGCTCACTACCCACAAAGAACCTCCATCCTCAGGCGGTCACAGCCTGCAGTGCCCATTGCCTGGCAGGCAGAGTGCAAGTCTTGGCTTTGACCTATTAAACTTTGTATCATGTAGGTAGAGATTCTGGGAAGATTTAGCCACAATTACAACTACAGTAAGCTGGCTCTCCTGCATGCACCAGTGCAATGTGAGTTCTCAGCCAACTGTGGAAGGTGGGGAACGCTTGGGAAAAAGATTATCTGTGTTCTAATAATTTCCAAACCCCTCTCAAAAAGGATTTGGAATTCTGCTGCCTCTCCTTCCTACCCCAGATAATCTACTTATTTCAGACTTCAACAGATGCAGCAAGGCACAAGAAAGGGAGCACGTCAGGAAGGAAGAGTGCAGTCCAAAGCAGGTAAGTCATCAAGTGCCTTCAGTCTTTTGAAGGAAACCAGAAAGCTCAGGTTTGGCCTCCCAGCAGCCTCAGAGCAGTCAGTTCTGGGCAGCAGAAACTGTTTTGCTGCTACTTCACAGAAAAGGCAGAGATGCCAGAAGAGTTTGTTCTCTCAGCTCAGACTCAGGTCGCAGATCACGAATGTTATCAGTTGATTTCCAACACGTATTGTTACACTCCACAGAGAAGAGATGTGGCATTAATGCCTTGCATTAAACAGTAATCTGGCAGAAAATCAGAGGAAAGAAAGGAGAATGAAAAGATGATCTCTCCATGGACATGAATAGCTCCAAGCCAGCTCCTCAGTGCAGCAGAAAGGCAGCAGGGACAAAGCTGGGTTCTCCCTGCAGGAAGATACAGCTGACAGTACATCTCCAGCACAGCCAGGAACTGAGAGGCAACAGCAGAAGGGGACTGTATCCCCACCCAGGAGAGACCACGTCTGTTGAGCACTCCTGAGTTACAGGCACTGCAGCCATAATGCCCTGAGCTCACACCACAGTGCACAAGCAAAGCACAGCAAACTCAGGATGTCTCCAGGGACCCAGAGGTGCTGTGTGTCAGCATCCTGGGGGAAGCACAGCATCAATTCTCCAAAGCCATGGTTATGCATGGGGCCAGGAATCCAGCCTGAAGGACAGCCTGAAGGCCTCCCTGCAATGCAGCATTTCCCCCCCAGCAGAGCCAAGTATTGGCAAACTGCAGAAAACCCACAAACACTGCATGTTTTTTCTCTTTCATTAAATCTGCTGCTTTGGCAAAATAAAATCTTAAAAAAAAAAACCAAACCCCAAGAGTGTGGTCATTCATCCATCACTGCTCTTGGGTAAAGCACCTCCTTGCCTTGCCCTTGCAGGTACACACAGGCTGCAGGCCAAATCCCAGTCAAATGCAAAAGCCTGGAGAACAAATGTGCCTGCTCCCAAATTCACTGGGGAAGCAGAAGGGTGGGAGTGCTCTGTGCAGTGCTCTAATGCACAACATTTGATCTGCTGCTACAGGCACCCCCACCCCACTTCCCCCATCCCCTCAGGACTCCTGTTTGGAAGGGAAGCTGATGTGAACCTGTCTGTACAGGTAGCCACCCCCAGCACAAGGAAAGGGGAGCTCAACAGCTGGCACTGCAGGGATTCCCTGCCTACATCCCACACCTACAGGTAGATTGGCAAGAGAGTGAAACTGGGGCCACCAGAGCTGCTACATGTCAGTAACAACCAAACTCGTGTGCATCTGACTGACTCCTGCCACGTAACAGGAGCAGAAGTGAGATACAGGGGGATACAGTTCTCAGCACTGATGCTGTAACTCCACCATCAATTAGGTGACAGTGGATAACCTTACAGGCTGGTGGAAATGAAAGCATTACCTGTACATGTCGCTATTAGAAATGTAATTAGGGCGTTTAAAAAATTTCACTCCAAGCAAGGGAATTTGCCTTAGCTTCCTGCTTTCCAATAACTGGAACACATAGCTGGAAATACCTGGAATTACTATTTCAGCAACTCCTCCATCTCCACGCTTGCCAGCTAGGGTTTTACATTCACTATAGCAAGCACATTTTGTATTTGTTCTGGAGAGGAGTGAAGTGTGAAACTGAAAAAAAAACAAAATCTCATTACACTCCAAGAGCCATGACATTTTCCTGATACAACCCTTTAAACCAACTTGAGAACTGTCCCCAGTGAGCACAAGGAAGCAGGACTGGCTGTGCACACGATGCAGAGGGTGGCAGTGAGGCTGTGGCTGGCACCTCTGGCTGGGTGCCAGGTGGGAACAGTCGCTCCGGTGGGTGGGAGTGAGTTGGCTCTATCTGTCCATCTCCGGTGCTGATTGTTGCAGTTGGGGAACAGGGTTTCAGCCACAGATGCTTTACCCAAAGAACCAACCCAAGAAGGCGCCATGAGTGCTGCCAGGAAGCCGTGGTGACTGTCACCAGAGCTGTCACCATGCCTCCACCAGCCACACGAGGATGGCTCAGAAGGAAACGCTACCACCTACCCGTGCTGGCATTTCCAGAGAACTCCAGGCTGCCCTGGACAGTTTTGTCCACTTGTACCTGATCAGTCAAAAAGGAGAACGGGCTCCACACAAGTGTTATCAAAACTCCAAACAAATATCTGCAACCTTATTAAAACAAAGCTACACAGACAAAGAACACCTTTCAGACCTGCATTTCAAAACAGTGTTTCTTACACTGATAATACAAAACTGGGGGGAGTGGCTGATACGCCTGAAGGCTGTGCTGCCATTCACTGGCACCTTGACAGGCTGGAGGGTTGGGCACAGAGACACCTCTAATGATATTCTACAAGTGTAGGGTCCTGCACCTGCAGAGGAATAACCCCAAGTACCAGTACAGGTTAGGGGTGACCTACCAGAGAGCAGTTCTGCAAGAAGAACTCCACATCTGGAGCCCTGTGCCCAGTTCTGGGCTCCTCAGTACGAGAAAGACAAGGAGTTACTGGGGAGGGTCCAGCAGAGGGCACAGGGATGATTAAGGGATTGAAACATCTCAGAGAAGACTGAGAAGGAATCTCATCAATGCATATATATATCTCAAAAGGCAGGTGCCAAGAGGATGGTGCCAGGCTCTTTTCAGTGGTCCCCAGTGACAGGATCAAGGAGCAGTGGCCATAAACTAAACACAAGAGGTTCCACTTCAACATGGGGAAGGTCTTCTTTATGTTGAGGACAGCAGAGCACTGTAACAGTTGCGGAGTCTCATTCTCAGGAGACATTTCAAACCCACCTGGACATGTTCTTGTGTGACCTGCTACAGATGACCCTGCCTTGGCAGGGGGGCTGGACTGGATGATCTGCAGAGGTCCCTTCCAACCCTAACAATTCTGTGATTCTGTATTCCTACCCACACCTCAAGTCCAACACCAAATAAAGCAGCTTTGCTGCAAGTTCAACTCATAGAACATGTCAACACATCCACAGTCGCCTTAATCTCTTCCACAGATACTGAAATTGGAAATTTTGCAGACACCAAGTGAAGCTTTAGAATGTCACATATATTTGACCTTATCTTTGGGCTAATGCTCACTTACAGAAATGGAAATGCCATGCTAAGTGTTATTATCTTGTAAAAATAAATGGAAACTTACAGGAAACAGACATCCCATCTTATAGAAGACACTTCCACAAAAGTATAACCTTACAGCTCCCCAGAGCTTAGGAAAGGAAATAATTCCTCAAATTAAGTGTTTATGTTTATAATCATATTAATCTGCAAGATAGGCAGCTGGTCCCAATGCTCAAAACCTTCACTAATCATCACATAGTCACATCACAGCTTAGTCATAAACATAGAGGAACAGTTTATCTTCTCAAATCCAAACTGGCATAACCATTTTATCCACGCTCCTGAAATCCTAGCTTTTGGGAAGAACTGATTCAGGAGAAACAATCTACTTTCATTTCACAGTTAGATGCCTATACTGCACTGAGACAGTGAACAGACATCTCTCATATTCAGGTATAACTGAGTACAACAGGTAGAAAAGAATCAGTTGATCAACATAAGGAGGATCTCAAAATTCACACTACACAAACCAGTGTCCTTGGAGTCCCCTGAGCCACAGTGCTGGTGACAAAATACTGCTGCAAAAAGCAATTCCCATAAATAAAGAGCAATTTCTCTAATTCACTGTGAAATTAATTGAAATGAAAGGCATTACTAATTTGCCCTTCCAGTGCTGCCTTGCATCAGAATTAAGACAGTGATACCATCACCCTCCAGCACTAAAAGCTGTTTCCAACAACTCAAATATACCCAGAGTAATTAAAGAACACAATGTGCTGAAACCTTCAGTACTTCAATAATAGCACTTTTCACTAACAGGTTGAGGCAGAAACATCAGCTATTTTTGAACTGAAGCTCTGAAACAGTACCTACATATGATATATTTAAAACAGTGGCCCAGTCCTGGTTCAATAGAAAAAACTCTTGTTGACTTCAAAGGAGCAGAATTGACCTAGAGAAGTTGCAAAAAACATAAAACACTTTAGTCCTACAAAATCCATATGAACTAACTGTGCTAATATGCTGCTGAAAGATCAAGTAAATCAGTTTTTGGACGCAAAAATAAGCTTGAAGAAGAAAGGCACCATTTACCTACTGTGGAGAAGGAAGAAGTGAAGGGCCATACTGAGAGCCAAGTTGTCAGTTAAACATCAGAACCAACTAAGAGCCAGGTCTGTTAATGACAGGAGGAGACTGCCCGGGGAGGCAGTGGATCCCCAGCACCAGAATTGTTAACAGTGGGTTGGGTAAAGCACCTGCCACAAAGGCACAGGTGCCTTCCAGGTCAGAGGGGATCCCCTCCAACCTTCTCATCTACAGTAAAAACCTGAAGAGAGCTGCACTGCAGAAAGACCACAGCATAGGGAGACTGCTCCTCACCCGTGTGAGCACTGGGTTGAAATGACACAACTGAAAAAGAAGAGAGGCAGCCTGGTCCAGTGGGGAGGGCACTGGGATGTGAGCTGGGAAGCCAGAGCTCAGGTTGAAGGCTGTACCTGAGGAGCCAAAGCCCATCACCCCTGCCCATACAGCAGCTCTCAGCCTTTATCTACTCCAGCTTTCCCACACAGGGTTGCTCTGAGGGCACAGGCTGGGTGAGGGTGACAGCGAGCACAGAACCTCTGTGCGTCAGCAAAACAAACACGCTGAAAATACACCAAGAAGTGTGGCTGCCCGTAAACTTTTACAACCTTGGTGACTCGTTCAATAGTGCTTTAGGGTAGATGGAGTGGGTGGAAGGAAGGGGAGGGTGGCACACCACATTTGGGGCACAGTTCCTCAAATATAGCTTATTGATGGCTCACAGTCAAAGCATTTTGAAAGCATATGGGATCGATACTCCAACCAGCACAGCCCACGAGAGGGGACTTCTCTCACACAGATCACCAAAAAACACAGCAGACAAAATTATTCTCGTAATGTCACACAGGATTTCAGCACAGGAGACATATGGGAGTGTTAATCAGCCAAAAAGAAAAACCCCCAGTGGAGTTCCTAAGAGTTAGAGCTGACTGGGGGGGGGATTGTGTACCCAGAATCAAGTTTTGGATTTGGGCCCAGTGAGAAGGATGTGTTGGGCCAAAGGATGGAAACTGGGGAACACCTGAAAGATCAGGTCACATTTTGTACAGACAAACAAAAGGGTAACCCCAATCAAAAAGCTATCTCTAGGGTTTTAAAAGGGTTAATTTCATCTAACTGAAGAAAATTTTACTGAACTAATTGGAAGAGAAAACATACAGAGGGAAAAAAAAAACAGGACTGAAAATAGACAGTTCTTTAAAAGGAATTCATTAGAAGACTGAAAATTCATGTTTCTGTGAGAGGGCTGATTTAACTAAACCCCTGCTGATCAGTAACTGTATAGGTCAGAGTAGACATTCACAGTTAAATTTTTTAATTGTGACATAGGAAATGCTATTTTTAAGTCATTCAGGAAATGAGGAGAAATTGTGCATTTGCATCAGACAAAAGAAAGAGGAGACATTAAATGACATTTCCTTGGGTTGAACACGTAAGTCAGACCACTCAGCCCATTTGCACCCACGAGCCCTACAAAGCTTTGGCTCCCCAATGTGCAGTAACATTCCAGAAACCTGGAGGGAGGCCAGAGTGCTCCTCCAAAGACACGTCCTGCACACACAGGCAGGAAAGACAACTGGGGCAACGTAAGTTTGGTAAGACTCTTGTTGACTGACCACTGGATAACCACTCTGAACAACAAATAAGGATTACATAGGTTCAATACTGTGAACAACAGGTACAATAGAACTGGTGATAGGTCTAAAAGAGGTTATTGGAGAATAAACACCAAGTAAGCTTATTATACACCCTCAGAGAGCAGTTGTAGCCCCAGCACTGGTCAACATCTCACTCTAGAAACAAATATTAAAATTATCCATTAAATCTGGCAGACTAGCCAAGCAGCAAATGCCAAGGACAGTGCAGTCAGGGAGTGTGCTCTGGCTCTCTGGGCAGGCAGGGCCTTTCCAGGTGAGATGTGCTGCACTGCAACCACACCAGAATTCGTGCATCCAGGAACCAGGAATGCAAACACTGCCGTCAGGAATGCCAGGCTGGATCTGGGACTGCACCAAACTTCAACACTGCAAGGGATGATGAGGTCAGAGCAGGTAAGCAACTATGCAAAGACCAGGGATAAGAGGGCTAATGCGATTATGGGATGTACAGAAGGAAAAACAGAGCAGGACTCCGCAGGAGATTTTACCTCCATACACTGAAAGTATGTGCACAGTGTATGGTCTTAAAATTATACTTAAATTCTAGAGTATACTTAGAAAAGTCACTGAAAAGACTGGTTTAGACTGGAGAAAAATTCTCAGTGAGGGACTTGAAAAGCTTTATCTGCTTAGTTTATCAAAAAGTAAATTTAGGTGATGGTTTTCAGAGTGAACTGAACTTTTGTCTCAAGACAAAAAAGCAGAGGTACCAATGAGACCTTTAACAGAGCTAGCTTTAGCTATAAACTTCTCACAGCTGAAGCTAGATAAATTCAAGGAAGTAATAAAGTGTGACTTTTCCCAACAACAGAGGCAATTAACCTTTGGTTTAATAATGGTACAAGCAGTGCAAAGTAAAAGTAATGAGTTTTCAGTGTTATAAGTCTTTACATTAAAACTGGATACCACACATATTATTTGCTTCAAGTAAATGGAAATTTCTGGGTCTGGGCAAAACTGCACAGCTTATTGCAAGACATTTCCCAGGATCATCTTCCAGTTTTTAACTCAACATATTTATAATAATACAGGAAAAGAGCAGCATAACCTATTGCTGTCAGTAACATCTGCATAACCCCTCTTTGCTGGGGTAAGGGTGACAGATTATAACTCAGTCTTGCATTTCAAGTGTCAAATGCATTCCACAACTAAGGCAAACCCAAGCTCCAGCCTCCCTTGGCCCCCCAGACAACTTACTCAGAGATGTGTACGAAGATGTCTGGCCCTCCATCCGCAGGGGTGATGAAACCATGGCCTTTGGAGCGACAGAAGCACTTACAGACACCTTTGTAGATGGGACCCTCTGATGCCCTCACGGTTCTGCAGAAGAAAGCACAGGAAGAGCAGGTTATTGCTGAGCACAACGCCAGGTGTGTCAGCCAGAGCAAACAGGCAAAAGGGCAGAATGGGCCAAACACTCCCAGTGAGCAAATTCCTCAGCAGGAACTGCTTAAAACTCATTTTCATACTCTGCATATGCTTTGCCTGTGGCCTCTTTAAGGGAGATAAAGATGATGAAGGTGTTTCCTCGCACTATAACCCATCAGTTGCCAACTTGAATTCACCTGTTCTATCGCTGTGCCAAATTTTCTTCCAGACACCGAACTAAATGTGCATCTCTCTTACCTTTCCTGAGTTTGGGAGTACCAGTGTGCCCCAGAGTGTTGTATTTTCACATATTTCACAGTCAGTGTGTGCATGTAGTATGGAGAGAGTGCAGCGCATAGAGACGCGTGTAGTGTGTACACACCCCCCTTCTGCATCAATGTCCACTCTTATCCTGCCAGACTAGGATGCAGTGAAGCCAAAATTTCACCTCCCAGTGACTCCAGCAGGCTGTGAAGCCTCACTGGTGTGCATTAACACCAAGACTCCAGGCTGAACTCCTCCTCCACTGTCCCAGGATCTGTATTCTAAAATGAGACAGATCTGCAGACCAAGCTTTAGGATGACTCACTGCCATCAAGAAAAGGGACTTGCATGAACAATGACCTACCCTGAAAAGTGTGTATTTAAATTCTTTTCCCCACCAAATACATCGAGTGGAACCCCCAGGGATCCAAACTCACTCAAACATTTTCATCAATGAAGCCAACTGTTTCAGACATCTTCTGGAGTTTACACTGAGGAGTTACTAGATCTGGACTTGCTCATGCCATGAGTACCAGTAGGTTGTTTCCACATTAGAGGGGGATTTTGGTACAATTCTTCTGACTCAGTTAGTGACTGTGTTGCCATTTGGTTACATGCATCATGGCAACTTTGACATCACTTTCCCACATGTTCAAATTTTTTTACATTTGGTTTAAATAAAATTGTTTAAAAAAAAAAGTGGTAAGCTCTGTTCTTTAAGTCAAACTAACACTAAAGAAACATAGTTAAAAGTGCTAAAGAGAAATCTCCACTAAATCACTTCATTTCCAGCTCTATAAAGCTGTCAAAGCACCTGACCTCACAAGTGCTTGTTACACAGAAAAGCACTCGCTGTCCTAAACAAGCCATTAAAGTTCAATTGCATCTTTCAAGGAGATAAAGCACTGTGGGGGATGAGGCCCCACACTTTCAATGAGCCAAAATTAAATAATCCCACCGAATAATAAACCTCTGTCTGTCACATTCATCTTTTCTATACAATTGTGGGGCCAGAGCTCACCTAGAGCTCCCCTTGTTTAAAGAGGACACACACACACAAAAATTCAGAGCTGTTCTGATTTTCAGGGCAAACAAATACGGCAAGAATCCTACACTAATTAATGATTAAAGAACTGTGCAAGCCAAATAATAAATTCTTTCATTTTGTAAGAACCAGACTAAGATTAACAGCTGAGAAGACTTACAAAGAGTTCATTATTAACACAGAACTGAGACAAGCTAGCTTGGACTTGCTTTTCAAGGGCAACCCCAATTATTAAGTCAATTATGTTCCTTTTAGCAATCTACTTCCACTAGAAATTTCAGGGCATTTGAAGGCTTTTGGAACTGAAAATATATAAACTTCTCTTATTCTGCTGCTGATACTTTTTGCCTGATTTTAAATACAGAAGTAATAATATGAAGCATCACTGAGATTATTATTTAAATCTGGAAGCAAAGAGCTGGGTAACGCTGCAAAAGCAAAAAGGAAAAAGCCACCAGAAAAAGCTCCATCCAGATAAAGTGGCACAGAGCAGGCTGGCTGTGGGAGTGAGACCAAGCCAGCACTGCCAGACCTCCCTTACAGACCAGCTGAACTGCAGTGATTGACCACAGTTCCACATAATGCCCTCAGACCCCCATTCAAAGGCTCGGAGATTAACAGAGAAGCCTCACATTGCCTTCTGCAGGTCAGCCCCTCACTGGGAGGGCCATCACAGGCACTGGGAATTCTTTGTGATTGCCAAACCTTGCGACACTTGGAGGAGTCCCCTTCAGACAGGACCTCCTGGAGCCTGCACAGCACCACGGGGCCACAGGAAAGCTCAGGGAAAGGCAGCTCAGCTGGAGCACTACCTCAAATAACTACAAATGCAACAAACCTCATCTCATTTTATGGAAAATCTCATGGAAGAAACCCTCAGAGACAGAGATCAGGGTTCATCCCTTGAAAACCGACACATTCTTTTACAGGTCTGTTTGAACAATCTTAAGATGGACATATGAAAGTTGGAAAGGAAAAGGAAACAAGGAAGCACTTTCCTCTGAAAAGTGATGGAGCATCCCTAAAATGTAGCCTGGATGAGGTGTCAGGAGTAAAAGAACTAAAACTTCCGAAGAAGTCTGATCAAGTGCTTCAGGGGCAGTGAAGAGAGAGGTCATGACAAAAAAAGGGCTGGATCTAATGAAGAAACACCAACAAGAACCTGTCCCAAGAGCCACAACCCAATGTCTGAAATAAAGTAAAGCTTCAGATAAGAACTATGTTTTGAAAATTCTCAGTATACTTTCCCCTCCCTGTAAAACCCTGGTCTTAAAGAGTGCAAGAGACTTTGAACACCCTCCACCAAAGCAGAGCACCAAAAAAAACTACAGGAGATTTGGCCTAAAAGTCTAGTGGCATCAGAATGTATTGGAGAAGAGACAACAGTTACATACCAGAGCATCTTCTAGATGCAAACAACCACCTCCCCCATCCCATCCCCCCCCCCCCCCCCCCCCCCCCCCCCCCCCCCCCCCCTTCCCTGATCGTTCAGCCTGAGGGCAATGGTTTGTTTGTGTTGTGAAAGGCAGGTTTCCCCCGTACTCACGCAGAAAAGGTCCTGGTCCGTCGGGTGGGCAGCGGGCTGGGGATGAGGTACCTCATGGGCGATGGGGAGCGCTCCCTCGCCCTGCGGCTCTCGGGCAGATGGAGAGAGCCGGGAGAGGGTGGAGAGGCAGGGGACTGCTGGGAGGCGGATGAAGCGGACTCAGAAGACATTCCTGATGCCTGGGAAGAGCCTGGAGAGAGGAAGAGATCTAACTTAGCCCAAAATGGGAATTGCCATAAAAGCCACAAATTCTTCAGATGACGGTTCTGTAAGAACGTGACTCACTTCCTGCAGACGTACACACGGACACTGTTGCACCAAAAGCTCCTGCTTTCTATCAGTGAGTTCACGTTTTTTAAAGTTTATTTGTTTTTAAATGTCACAGCTTTTGTAAGCTGTACTAGGAAGCTCCACTGGAAACAGATTACTCCACAACTAACGCATTTGCTTATTCCTGCCTCACCCACGGGCAATGGTTCCTGATGGAGAGCTCAGCCCCAGCACGAGGTATTGCCCCACACAGCTCCCCGACGGGTGGGGTTTGACCACTGACAGCACAGAGGAGCCTCCTGCATCTGCACACAAACACACCTTACAAGAAAGAACCGCTCAAAGAGGAAATGCTGAGATAAAGGCTGCGCCTCCACTGCTGGAGGTTGGTTTCCTGGTGCCACCACCTATCAGCACAACTCTGCCAGCTCGTAACACCTTCAGCCTGGCTGCAAGAAGAGAATCACTTAAGTGCTCCTTAATTCAGTTCAGACTGAGTCAGACAGGCAATTTACTCCGCCAAGGACAGGAACACAGACAAAGCTGGGAGGCAGGGGCTGACTGTGAGGAGGTGACCCCTCCCACCTGCAGTGATCTGGCAGACCCAGCAATCCCCCTCGGTAGGTCTGAGTCTACTACAATCTCCCAGGAACTGGGAAGCCAATAGTCCACATCTGCATTCAGACCCCCTGCAGCCTCAGGTTTGCTCTTATTCAGGTCTGACAGCAGACAAGGGAGAAGATCCCCCTTCTCAGCACACCAACAGCAATATGTGTCTCATCACACAACAAGGCAGAACTCACAGAATCCATGGAAAGGGAAAGATGAGAAACAGCAGCGCTTCTATGCAGACAAATGCATGACTTACAGGTGCAGCAGTGACAAAAATAAGAGGAATCAATCAGCACTGCTCTGTTATTACGATACAAGTCCCCATCCACACTGGAAGGAGAATAAGATGCACAAAAATAACCAATAACCCACAGCACTCTTACTTAAGAAGACTAAAAATATCTGGTTATCTGGATGAGTTAGCAAAAAAAAAAAAAAAATGTGGCGATCTGGGTCAAGAAAATATCATGAAGGCAAGAAAAGCTGTTTTTAAGACCAATGGTTTAACTGAACTCAAATCTCTCACATCCATTATGCACCCTGCTTTTGACACCCACACTCCCCAGCCCATGAATTATGGAGCGGATCCTTCACATGACATTTGAGAGTTGCAACGTTCTTGTCAATGACAAATTCATATTATTTCTTCCTAAAACTAAGGACTAAAATTAAAAGGGCCTCTTAAGAATGAAGTCACCAGGGAACAAAGGCTTTTGTCTTTAATTGCTTGGGGTGCTGAGAAAGATAGAAGTGGATAGTCATGTTCCCTCCTCCACCAGCTTGAGCCTTCCACGCTGTTCTCAGGAGCAACAACTCAGCTGAGAACAAAACCCCAGCTTTAGAGAAGTAATTTCAAATACAGATGGCATTTGTCACCCATGAGCTAATGTCCTGCCCAGGGTCACAGCACAGTGTTCAGCTGAGACCAAAATGATAACACCAATGGGTTGGAATTTTCCAAATTTCCTCTTCCTCCAAAGAGGCCTCCTATGCTGGCTGGTACTGAGGAAATCTCCCGGGCTTTCTAAAGACCTCTCCTTTGGGTGCTTTGCTTTCAAGGAATGCATGTTTGACATAGCAGGACTATAGCCCTAATAAGTCACAGGAAAACTAAGAGCAAACAATTAAAGCCTCATTCTGATAACTAAGCACACACGGTCTGGCCTCTGCACAAGTGAAAATGCAGCTTTCAGAATCACACACTTTCTCTCCTCATCTAAATATAAACCAGCTTGTCAGGTGACAAGCAAAATGCAAAGCATTCACCCATCCACTGCAATACAACCACAAAGTACTGCCCATCCCCTTCCTCAAACAAGGGTAGAGAGGCAGGAGAATATTCCCTCCTTTCTTTAAAACACAGATGAACCACAAAAATATTTACAAATAAAGAAGTCTAAATGGAGTTAGAAGAGTACTAATATATGCTATTGTTCCCATTTATATTATTTTTGTGCCCTTTGCCCCGTAAACATAAAATAAAACAGTGATGTAGAACATTCAGTACCATCTCATTGTACAAATACCCTTTCTGTTCCCTGCCCACGGCCAAGGTAGATGAATAACCTCGACTCTCCTAATTTCTATTACACGAATCCTGAACCATGATCAGAGCTGGGTGAGAGCTGACACAAATGCTCACAGCTGGAGGCAGCCACAGCAGCCACGCTTGGCTTCACACCCGCCACAGCAAGTGAGGGCAGCTCAGAGAGGAGGGGAGGCAGAGCAGCAGCCAGAGCAAGCCTGTGGCTCCACTGCAGCTCAGCTACACCCTGCACTGGCACATATGCTGTGTCACTGCAGGGGCGAGGGCACTGGCACATCCCTTTGCCTCTTGGGCTTCTCTGACAACTGCAAAAATCAGACACAGTGAAAAGTACTGGAGACTGAACGGGCAAGTTTTATGATGTGTGTAGGGCGGGATGTCAGCAGCTCCCGGCTCCTGCAACACTCACTAAGAGGAGCACTTCATCTGAGCCTGTTCAAAGACAAAGGTGGAGCTCAGCTATTTTGGTTTGTGCTGGTGTGGCTACTTCTTGATGTTGTTCACAGAGGGGTTAACCCCTTTCCCCTGGCAGCCCTTCTGAAGGAGCAGAGCTCTCCCCAGCTTGCAGGCAGAGCTAGAGGCACTCAGAGGCTGGGCAGTGCTGATGCAGGAACCCCACAGCAAACAGTCCCACCAAACCAAAACCCAGGCCCCAACCCTCCCAGCCCCTTCCTCTTCATGAACGCTTTGCCTTCCAAATGCAGTTACTGGCAGTCTTCAAAGATGCTTTCCAGATGCTCTCCTGGGTCCTGAACTGACCCTGGGACTCAGATAGCTGCCTACCTGCCCCTTCTCAGCACCCACGAATTTCTTCCCCTCCTTGTGACCAGTTGAACAAACCCCCTTTCTTACACCTCTCATAAGCCCACCCCCTCCCAGCCTGCTTCCATCAGTTATCCCCCATCCCTCCAGTCCAGCCACCACTCTCCACTCTGCCATGGCAAAGAAGGCACCCCATGAACCCCAGGGAGCATTAGAAGTGCTCCATGCCCCGAGCTCCCCAGGAGCCTCCTGCTGTCATCCTGAGGGCAGCCAGCACTTCACAGGAGCAAACCAGAGCTCCAGAAAGCCCAGAAGTGTGAGATTCCAGCTGTGCCAAACAGGAGGCACAGTACAGACAGTATCTCTCTTCTCCTTGAGCCAGCAAAACATCTGCCTGTGGGTATTTACAGAATGAATGTAACACGACGTAAGGTGGTGATGTTTTCAGGCTCTTTAGGAAACTCCAACCATGTGTCACATCACCCTACAACTTACTGAACTTCCCATATTTCAACATCCATCATTATTTTTTTCCAACGTGATTCTTTTTTTACTTTTTACGTTTAGGAATGCACCGAAGTAAGATATAAATAAAATAAATCTCAGTAGCATCATGGAAATAATAGACTAATTTAACATTTCAAAGCAAAAAAATATCTTTTTTTACCATTGTTTTTGAGAATGATTGGCTAATACGTACAGAAAGAGACCCCAAAATGTCATCTGTAACAGGTGACCTACAAAGCACCTGTAACAAGTGAACTACAAAGAGCACAATACATGCAGGAGGAATTTCTGAAATTCTCCATGAAATAAAACAAAAAAACCCTAATGAAGCTATTAAGGTTGGGGGTATATAAATACCATCATAATTTTTCTCTAAATGTATACATCCTATTCATCTTTAAGTCTACTCCATACCTCTAAAAATACCCTAAAAATAGCAGTTTTGGGGAAGTTATCCATTCTGACCAGCACAAACACTATCACAGAAATCCTGTCTCATTTTTAATTAATGCAAATTCCTGGAAAAAGAAGTCCAAATGGATATGGCAGGGTGACAGACTCCAAGAAATCTGTCTATCAACAGTTTGTTTTTCACACAACAGACTGCAGCACCTCCAGTGAGCGGGCACAGAGCTCATCCCCAAGGAACACTGCTCTGAAGGCTTAGTGCTCCAGCAAGGAGAAAACGCTCCTTCTGGCCTCCTCAGTCTGGAAACAACCCTGTCTGGAGAAGCTGCTTTCAGAAGGTACCACAATGGTCCATGAACAGGACAGCACCAGTTACACTTGCCTGGAAAATGAGGTCTTTCCTCAAAGAGAGAGCAAGGTTACTGTACCTCGAGAGCAGCCACTCTCAGATGGGTTTTGTGGACAGTTAACTCTTTTCTTTCAACCTCTACAAGAAATGTGGACATCTGAAATGTTGATTGTTTTCTTTCAACCTCTACAAGAAATGTGGACATCTGAAATTTTGATTGTTTTCTGGGCTTTACCTGGATGCAGAACAGCCACCAGAAACTCTTTTTAAATGACTCACTTTCGAACGTCCTGGTTTCCAAATTTATTCTGTGCAGCTGCATTTCTTTCCTTCTCTAAGGAAGCCATTCTTAAGGAACTCCTCAGCTTCACCTGTTCTTTTGCTGACACCTACAACCTCTTCTCAGCAGGAGAAAAAACATGGCCCCTTGCCCTTGTCTACTGAGAGAGTGAAGGCATCAAGACCCTCCGCTCCCTGCATTACCTTGCCCTGTTCCAGGTGAGGATCTCAGGGTGCTTGGCTCCCAAGGGTGCCCCCAGTTCTACAGCAGCTCCCTGGCACCTCTCTAAGACACCTGAGCACCAAGCACAGCGCTGCTCCCACCTGCAGTTTCCTCCCAAAACACTTTCTGGCACTTGGACTTTGGCGCACACAGGACTCCAGCCCCGCAGAGCATCCCAGCACTGCTCCTGCGCCACCGAGTGAAGCTCTTACGAAACACGTACAGTTACGAAAC